TAAAGACTTATGTAAATTCATTTTATTTTGCTTTAGATACTGAAGATGGAATATGATAGAATTCCGAAACGTTTATCCATGTCCCCTCTTTGTCAATAAACAATGTTGTATATCATAAGTGTCGTAATATTTGATACTATTTATTATGTATAGGTCCAGCTTATCTCTCTTTGGTTGACTTGTGTTTAGAGATATTGATGAGGAGTGGAATTATCCGAAACTAGGATAACCCAATAACACACGTTGATCAAAGTGTAGATTGAACTGGACCTTCCTTGAATTTAGACTTCAAGATTAAACAATTTCGGAATACTAAGTTTATTATTATTTTTAGGGTTTTTTTCCTTGTATTCCTGAAATTTTCTTCGTATCTTATTTGATATTGACGTATATTAAATTCTATAATCATATTAAGAAATTGAGTTGAATTACATTTGCAATAAACATTACTTTGTGTTATAAATTCTCAATTATCTTCTAAGATCGTACCGAGGTAATTGTTTTCTGTAACGAACGCTTGTGTTAAATTTCTCTCTGAACCTGAGTGATTTTCAAAGAAGTTCGTGACCCAGAAGAGCACGTGATTAAATGTTAAGCCTGAGACATAGGAGAGATTATCTTCTGCTGCCTAAAATATAATTGAGCGTATACATTAGGAATTTTACATCAACACGACCCAGGGCCGGCGTGACGTGTTTTGCTGCCCTGTACAAACGCTGACTGTGACGCCCACCTCCACCCCTCAATGATGTTTCCGTGTATCATCTGTAGGCAGCAGCGGTGTTATGTTCTAACTGTTTGCTTTACTCTAAGATGTCCTTTCTGCCTGAAGTGGAATTTTTCGCTATGCCAGAGAGCAGCTGTTGGCCAGAACCAATTTTATGACATTCATTCTTGGCGCCCCAAGAACCAGCCGCCCTGTGCACGTAATGCACCCCCGATCCCGTCGGCCCTGAAACAATCTCTTCTAAAGTATATTTAAATATAATCACTCTCTGTATACGAAGAGGGAGGTGATATTATTAGTAGAAAAGCTACTTAACCGTCAACATAATTACAATGCAGATCGAGTCTTACCATGAGACAAATCTGCTTTGTTTGGTAATGGTGAAGACGTTCCTATTCTTTTTTTAACTACAGAAGGTTATTTAAGTGCCTAAACCATTTCCAAAGAAAAGATTAAATCAGAACTAGAAATTAAAATAGCTTACGATTTGTAGTTAAGTATTTTAAGCTGAGTTAGTTTACTGACTAAAAATTACTTTACAATTTAAATTGAATTGAATTCTTTCCTGTAGAAAGAATTGAAAACCCAAATTTTATTTTACTTAGGCTTATAGATAGAAGATGAAATGAGATAAAGTAGGTTCCTCATAAAATTGTTTTCATCAGATTAAAAAAAGAGCAACAAGAGCGCGTTAAGAGAATGGGGAAATATGTGTTAATAAGGTCTAACAAGTCTTATAACATAACGCAACTAATTGGTTTAATTAGCATATAATTTTAAAGCAAGTTAAACAAGTAAAATTTCACCTGCAAAAATTCTTACTACGAAAAATGAAATGCCCAAATTCTTCAACATTTTTAAGTGACGAAGAATTTGTATGAATCAGGATTTTGTAATTTCCTTATATGCATTCTTATTGTACAACTTCCGTGCGTTTATAGATGCTAACTAGGATTTTCCAAACGCAGATATCGAAGGGCAATGACAAGTCGACACCTCAAGTCAGTACAAATGTAAAACAAGAGGACTTCGCCAATACTACCAATGAATATTCCAGCGCATCAGAGACAACCAGCGCAGAGATAACGTCAAGAAGTAACGCACCTTTCAGCTCAGAATCGGAAGTTTGCAGAGTCAGCAGTATATCCTACTCTAGCAGTCCTAGTAAGGCATTACTGGCATAATAATTTAGTTTGTTTTGCATATTCCGAAAACACAAATATTTCATATGTGTCTTAAAATTAAAAGAAATAATCTATTACGAAATCCGTATTCATCAACTCATTAAAACGCTTGAAACTATGGTAACAGAATAATGTCTAACACAAATAATATTTTTAGACGATATTTGTGCGTATCAACGAGCATCATATTGTACCTTGTGAATGTTTCAAACATTTGTGTATGAAAAAGTATTAATCTAAACATTATTCAGTGTCCTTACTGTTGTTGCCTGTACGCTAGTGAAAGGTATAACAAGGAGCAAATTAATACTCATTTCTTACCATTGGAAAGTGTGAGACGGGAATTTAGTGACTGGCTCAGCAAGGCCAAACACTGATTACAGAGAAAAAAGGAGTGTTCCTTCGTTAAAAAATGCCCCCCAGTGGCACAGCGGCATGTCTGCGGACTTACAACGCTAGAAACCGGGTTTCGACACCCGTGGTGGGCAGAGCACAGATAGCCCATTGTGTAGCTTTGTGCTTAATCACAAACAAACAAAATCGAGGTTGAGCTAAAAATTCAAGTTTTTCCTATAATATTGTGTGTTGGGTAATTTTTACATGTTCTGCTATAGCTGAAGTTTCTATTTTATTATTTCTTATGTAACTTTTGTGTTCTTGCAATCTATATTTAAAATTGCTTTAAGTTTGACCAATATAAACACTACCACATTCTATCTTGTATATACCTGTCTTATCTGTTAATTCTATTTTGTCTTTAGCATTCCCTATCATACTTTTTATCGTATTTATTGGTTTGAAGATTGGGTAAAAATTCTTATATTTTTAAATTCTTTATATAATTGACTTGTTAAACCTGTAACGTAAGGTAAACTTAGAGTTTCTTTTTTGTTTTTTCATAAACAGATTTTTAATGTAGTATTTTTAACTGGATTTGAATTTGTGTTTAACGTCTTAAAGACTTAAATGCTTTGTCTACTTCATTTGGTTCCAATCCTCTATCAATAGATACATACTTAATTAATAACAATTTGGTATTTAAATCTTCCTGTCTTGAACATATTTTTATAGCTCTGTAAACATATGTATAAAATGCTGATACTTTTTTTATATGACATGATTCTTTGTGTGGCAGCATAACAACAGCTTTTATATAAACTGATGTTTTTAAGTTACCTTCCGCTTTTTTCCAAACTAGTACGTCTAAGAAATTAATGCTATTATTTCGCCACACCACGAATGTGTCATTTACATATCTTATTCAAACTTCTAGCGTAAATTTATCGTTATTTAAAGCTTCATTTTCAAAACTATCCATATAAAGGTCACATAACAACGGTGACAAGGGGGATCCCATAGATAAACCCTCGTTCTGTTTTTAATAATTTTGATTAACCTGGAAAAATGGATTATCTACACACATACTCTTGTTAATTTCAATATATAAATAATTTCGACTGTTGGTACTCTGTTTTCTATTAATTTATTCTCAAAACATCTAATCGTGTCATCTAATGGTGTTTTAGTAAACAATGATATTAATGTTTGGAGACGGCTTGAATGGGTAATGAAGAAAAACTTTAATATAAGTTTAACATAACAGCAAGTGTACAACGTTTCGACAAGGTTTTGTCATCATCAGTTACATCAAATGATACCAGTAAGTCTTCCTTTTCTAATTTTAGGTTTTTAATCTTCTCTACAGATTCTATAGAATTTTTGACTGTATATTTGTTCTTATTTTTCAAAAAAGAATACTTACGTGTTATAAATGTTGCTATTTCATAAAATGATGAACCTATATTTCATACTATGAGCCTAAAACTGTTATTGTTTTTATGTATTTTAGATAATACGTAAAACCGTGGTCCAATAAATCTACTTGGTACTAAACAGTTTATTGAACATATCTCGATTTCATTTTCAAGACAAAGACACAACCATGATCAACTCAATTATCATAATTGGATGATATTCTTTCACTAACCCCAATATAAATAATGGGCTCACTCTTGTGGTGTAGATTTTATAGCAACTTACATTTTCCTCTTAGAACTAAATCACATGGCAAATATTCCAGTGTAGGACCAAACAGTAAATATTATTTATTTGCATTATGAAAACAGAACAGACTGTGTTTTTATCTCAAAGTACGTTAGGCTAATCAAACTCTTTCAAATATATAACATAAAACACGCCTGTAGTGTTTCACATATTTAATCATCCTCAGTCCTCATTTACATTATCTTCAGCAATTAGATTTGCAGATGATATTAAGATATTGGGTGTTGCTAGCTGAGAAGAGGATGCTGCTGATTTACAAAAGGATTTAGATCATTT